ACAGGTGAAGGAGGATCTTCTCCCAGTAAGGACCGCCAGACCTGTGCTTGGAGATTAACCTTTCCCGGTGCCTCAGTTTCCCTGGTTGCAAATGCCAGCATGGGGGAGGGCTGTGGCTTGGCCCATCTCGCCGAGGGTTATATTATGTCATCCAAGGGACTTTTGGGGCAGGGACTGCTGTGTGCATGTGCTTTCGAGCCTGGTTTTCCATCACCTGGGTTTCCAGCCTCCTTTCCCACACCTTCATCGCAGCAGTCGTGGTTAGGGGGGGAGGCAGCACAGCTGGGAAAGATGTGGGAAACGGGATGTGGGAGCTGGGGAACTGCCACCCCACAGGCACCGAGACACTTCTTCAGTGGCAGCCGGTGAGGACAGAGTGGGTTTATTCAACCCTTGATGGACCAATATGTTTTGGTGGGTTTTTTTTTTGTGCTGTGCTCCTTCCCCGTGGGCATTGGCTCTCCCTGGGGGTTGGAAGCAGGAGGGGTGCGAGGGAGGGGGGGCTCGGTGCAGGCTGCCGTTCACTCGCGATTTCTTTGTGTTGTGGTGTTATCAGCACTCACTTATTCTCTTTGATATTTATTTTTTTTTTTCCCCTGTTCTTTTTGTTGTTGCTATTTTTCATGTTTCCACCATGTCGGCAGTTTTCTTCCTGCCCGCCCCGCCTCCCCCGGCTCCCCCCTTCCCCTCTGATACACCAGAAACCTGAGACCAGGAATCATTCGGGTTGCAAAAGACTGTTAGTGGGTCACTGGTCTCCTGCTGTGGCATCTTCCCGCCACCAATTCCAAGCTGTTAACCCTACCCAAGATGCGAGAGCAATGCTCCACACATTCCCCCTTGCCCCTGTGCAGATCCTCATGCAAAAATCCCCAGCAAGCAGAAGGGCCAGGAGAGACTAGTTCGGGGGACTTTGGGCTGGAGAAAACAGCTTTGTAGCCTTTGAGTGGTCAGACTGAGGATGCTGGATGTTCTACTGGGAGGTGGCCAGGGGATTTATTGCCCTTTTAGGGATTTGGGGTGACCCGGCTGCAGTAGCCGTGGGGGGAACGAGGGGTAGGACGGGACACTGGAAGATGATAAGGTAGGTTTGCAGGCAGCCCAGCGCTATGGGCAAAGCCAGAGCAACAGAGTGGCAAGGTATTCTGGGGCTTTGGGCTGGATTTTAACACACAGAGGTACTCTGAGATACTGGGGGGAACTGGGGTGTTCATGGTAACGGGGTGGGACTGTCCTGTGGAGGTGTCCTATAGAGGCATGGTGGTGCTGTGAGCAGCAGAATCTCCTGGGATGCTGGCGACAGACTCACGGACACCAAAGGATTGGGGCGGGGGGGGTGGTGGTGGTGGAAATTGGAGCAGAATTTGGGGCAGAAGTCTTTTCAGGGAGAGGGGTGGAGGTGCGAGCAGCTGGGCGGCACCGTGGGCAGGGAGGTGTTTGGGGATAGCAGGATTAGACCCGTTGGCTCATGGCGATAGAGGGACAGCGGGTGAGATTAGGGGCACCAAGGCAATCTGGGGTAAAGGATGGGATAATAGGTGCTCTGTTGTTATCAGATAATGGAGGTGAAGGGCTAGGAAAAAGCTCTACATTCTTTTCCAGCTGGACCAAATGAAAACGAACTACAGAATACTGGAAAAAAAAAAGAAAGGAAAGCAAGGCAAAGGAAATACAGTCTTGTTTCTTTGATGGCAAGTCCCAGAAAAGGACCATATTTGACTTTTTCAGCGCAGGGCAGAGGCTGAAGGACTCTTCCATGCCAGACCCTGCAGAAGGGACCGCACCATGCCTGATGTATGCTCAGATGTGGCCTGGGCAGCACTGGGAGGCTCTTCTTCTCCCAGCTTCACTCTGCCTGAGTACTGTTATGGGAGAACAAAGCATTTCTCTGATTCCTGGCTTTGTTCATGTGCTGGTAGGGAGAGACGAGGCAGATCTGTTTGCTCCTTTCACCTGAGCATGAGAGCCCAATTTCTGCATGGCAGCTTGGGTTCTCTCATCGGGATTGCTGGCTTTGCTCTCCTGTTCCTACATTTTCTTCAGAGACGATCTCGTTGGGAGAGTCTGAACACCCCCACCACGTCCCTTAGACCTTTTTGGAGCCCATGCATCATGCTGAGGGCTGTCCCTGCTGCACAGAGCAGGTTTTTGGCAGAGCCCATGTAGGAGCATGCTCTCTGGCTCTTGGGCGTTGCTTTGGTCTTGTCTGATCTGGCTGATCTATGGGTCAAATACGAGGGTGAGAAATTGTGTCCAGCACAGAGAGAGCAGCAGGATCCTACGGCATGCAAGTTCAGCTGCTGTTGGACAACAGTGGGCTGGGTTCCTTGTAGCTATGCTCACACCAGCGTGGTGGGGGGCTGTTGGCCACCCCATCCACCGCCTGTCCCCACCGAGCTGCTCTTGTCCCACAGTCCTAACATCTCCCTCAGCCCTCAGAGAAAAGCACTTGCCCTCAGAGGTTCACCTCCACTCCCCGAAGCGAGGGTTGGCTTAGGAGAAATAACACCATGAAGACATGAAGGTGACTTTGTAAATGCAAAAAAAAAATCATCATGGGTAAAGACAGGCTGACTGTTCTTCCAGTACTTGGGGAGGTGTGCGCTTCTCTCCCTACTTGTTTGTCACCCAAGGCTATCAGGAATGCTCAATCTCAACCTTTTTGATCTTTTCCCCAAAACTCATCAGAGGATGCAAAAAAATGGATCAGCTCCTAAGCGCTGCAGCAAGAAAGTTGCAGTTTAAACAGATTTCAGGTTTTTTTTTTTTTTTTATTATTTTTTTTTCTTCTGATGGTGAGTGGGATGTTTGAGTTAAATAGATGCTGACTAAAACCAACATGGAGCTGGTAGCTGTGTGAACAGAGATCACTGGCCCTTGTTCTGTGCTCCTTGGCATTGTCTTTCCCTTTTGCTTGGTTCCTAGTTAATCACTGGTGCTTCTAGGAAATAAAAAAAAAACCAAAAACCAAAACCAAAAAACAAACCAAACTCCAAAAGTCTCGAACAAGGCAGAATCACTGATGTGATGGGAAATTGGGATAAAATGATGTGAGATGAACCCCAAGGCCTCTTTAGTCACCACAACTAAGATATCCAATTTTCAGGCTTCTCTAGCTCAGGTCGTGAAGTAAGCAGAGGTATGGGGACAGTTCTCATGACTGAATATTTGCTGATGGTTTTAAAAGCAGCCACTGTTTACGCAGAAGACTCCTCTGCACCTCATGGTGACACATGCATCGTGTGGCTAAAGAGTCCCTGGTGGCCAGGGTCGTCTGTCAGGCATCTTCTAATGGTGCTAAATTCACTTTGGAGAAAAAAAGATAAAAAAATACCCACAAAGAAGAAAAATTTAAGCAACCAAAACAAAACCTGGCCGGGATCCATAAAGCAAAGAGCTGAGCAAATTGGGGCAATTGTCAAGGGAGGTCAAATCTGTTGCCTGTCAAGGCTGGCAGTTTCCTCTAGAAAGGACTTGATGTAAATCATCTCCCCGTAACATGTGTGGTATCCAGGGGCAGCTCTGGTTTCCTAATGCGCATCGTTTCCGTGGGGCGAGTTTTGCATACGCAGCCGAGGCCGATTTTACAACACGCTGAGCATTCAGCACCGACTCGAGGCCGCTCCTCTCCTGCTGTCTTTCCCGGTCGTGTTTCGATTCGGGTTTGATTGCGCTGGGTTTGCAGTCGGGGTGATCTTTCCTGGCGGTGTGGGAGCAAGGGCTGGGAGCACGGGACTGTGGGTTCAACATTTTGCTCTGCACTGACGTGCCAGAGAGAGAAGCAGCGCAGTGACGAAAACAATCTCCATCTCGAAACGGAGCCACGTAGCTCCTAAAGGCACCTAAAACTTCCCCAAATACTTGGGTTTTTGGCTACATCTCTGTCGCTAAGCTCAAGAGGGTCACAGACCTCTGGTTCTGATGGTGGCTGGCATGGCAGGGCTTGTGTCCAACCAGCCAAATTTAGCTGTAGCGTGGGGTGGGCCTTGTCCAATGTGCCTTTTAGTCCTTGTACCCAGGAATTGTCCCTGACATGGGCTCATTTACTAGTTTTTGCATGTGCAGCTCTCTAAGCCTGCAGGAGGAGGTGGCCAGGCTTCAGCATGTCTCCGATAACTCTTCCCATTACGGTGATGGGCCTGGGGGAAGCACAGGGAGGTCTTGGGCAGAGGAAGGGTGAGCTGGGGTTTAAAACGAGCTTATCAGCAAAATCCATGTTGCTTTCTACTGCCGTTGCAGTTTGCATCTCGACCCAGGTCCTGCGCAAGCTGTGAATGGTGGCTTTGGCGAGTGGCAAAGCCCAGAGATCCCCAGTGGGGAGATCCAATCCTGTGTGGGCCAAAACATCTTCTGCTCATCCCCCAAGGGCTCATCTAATGCTGTGTCAGCAGGGCTGAGATGGAGGTGCTCAGCACCCTGGAGCAAGGATCCAGATCTTGGTGCCTCTTGACCGTTGAATTTCCAGGGCTGGTTTTTGGGGTGTGCTCACTGCAGGTTCATTCCATCGTGTCTTTTCCTCTGTGAAATAATTAACACTGCTTTTTGTGTTGCTTCCAAGCCCTCTTCTTTCCCATTTCTCAGCCTATATGAAACGCTGTCAGGGCTCTCAACAGTTGCTCTGAGTGAGGGATTTAGAAATGAAAGCCTCCAAGTCTGTGCACTCCATTAAAATCCACTGGAAGCTGCTTAAGGTACCAGGGACACATCTTAATACAGGTGATTTCAGGAAGCCAGTGCAATAGGCAATGTCTCCTATGACAGGTGAGAAAGACTTGAAAACATTCTGCATCAGCCTTTGCAGAGGTCCTCAGAGCTTCTGCTCACTGCTGGCGACACTCACGTGGAGGTTGACTTTGCAGTGGCAAACAAGCCACACAGAAATGAAAAGGAGGAGCCCGCAGATCCCAAATTTCTCACTCTTCCAAACTGACCTTGCTTTTCCTGGCAGGACGATTTAGGGTCGAGATGTTGGAGGTGGATTTGCTGGAGGTCCAGTTGCAATGTGTGCCAACTGCTGGCTGGTGCCGTGGGTGGCAAGTTATGGGAGATGATGAGGGTGAAGGACAGCCTGTCCTTCCTCCCTTTTGCGTGCAATCATGCCCGGGAGGCTGTGTGCTACCTCTCATTTGTTTGTGTCTGCTTGGTGGGAAAGACACAGTATTCCTGGGCAGTTTGGCAGAGGCTAAGCTGCACACCCCTGCTACTGTGAGCTACTGTGAGCCAGTGATGAAGGTAAAAAATATTGACTGTGCTATCAGTGGAATAACAAGAAATGTGCTTGAGGTGAAGAAAATCAAGAACAATTAAGCCTCAACCTAAAGTTCCTCCTTTCTTTCCCACTTCCAGAACTGAAGGAGGCCCAGGTTTGTGGGGTGGATGCGTTACATTCGGATGATGCTGCCTGGTTCGTGGTCAGGTACCATAGGTTTCATCTGACGAAACATGAGTATCTTCTCTTGGGCCAAGACTAGTGATGTGTGGGGTCTGTTTGCAGTATTTTTGCCCTCTGATGGCTGCTGTGGGTAGAGTGGAAATGCTGTGACTCCCAGAAGTAGGTTTGTGCTGGCTGCCTCTCCATCCTGATTATTTCATAAGGCAAAGCAAACTGCCAGGTGTTTGCTCAATGCTCAAGTACAGTGGCTAAGAAGCTGTGAAGCATTAACACTGATGAGAGCTTTGTCTTGATTAATTCTTTATTATTTTCTTTCAGGCCAGCAGTGGGTTTGTAACCACAGCCAAGGAGGAGATGAGGTCATCTGAGTGCCAAGGAGACTGACGTGCTGGACAAGTCCCTGGAGGCCTTGTGTTGTTCACGTGGAAGAAACACCTCCAGCAGTTAGGGCATTGTTTGCTTTCTCCTCCTCCCTTGACCACCAAGATGAGGTTGCCAACAGGGGCTGGTGTTCGTGACTTGCCCCAGCACATCATGGGGGCATGCTGGTGAGTATAGGGTTTCGTGCTCCACCTAAATTGTGATGATAGTGTCTAAAAGAAGCCATCTCACACCACTTCTACCCCAGCTATGTAGTCCTGCCCTGTCCCTTGGACCAACACTGACCACCCTCTGAGCCCATGGAGAGCTGGTTCAGGGATGCTCCCCAACACGAAGTCCATCACTTTTGTTGTAAGATGGTTTTCCCTTGGTTTAGCTCCTTCAGTGGGGCTGGATGAACTCTGGTACCAGGCCACATGGGTGGGTTTGGGTAGAGGGTAGGACTGCCCCTCTGAGCGGCAACTAGCTATTTGTCTGGCTCCTGTCTTTTGCAAAGCTGATTTCAGGAACGGGGATACTCTTGGCTCCTTCTCTGCCATCAGCTCTCATGAGCTGGATCCCTCCGAGGACATGGAAACACCTCCCCAGAGCACCTACAGCTGGATAAATCATGTTCCCAGGTGGAGAAGTCAACCAAGGATGTTCTGCCTCTGCCCTGAGGCCATGCTACCACCTTGTGTTAATGAAGTTGTCCTTAGGACCTGCCCAGAGCCTGTCACTGGGGCCATTTGAGCTAAAAATCTAACTTCCAAACTTTCTGGAAGGTGGAAGGGATCTTCCTACCCCCATTCCCAGAGTCTGAGTTAGAAAGTGCCTAATGTTTTTGATAAGGTGGAGACATATGCCAGCCCTGAGGGCAGCAGAGCATGGCTGGACCAACAGTGCTGGCTCCAAACCGTCATCCTGGGTGCACAGGAGAGTGCCAGAAGCATGGTTCAGAAGTGGAGCCACCTTACCTCCTACATCTCTAGGCATACAGCAGGCTGATGGGATGTCTTTTATAACGTCCCAGCCTCTCTTTTTCCTGCCTCTAACCTGTCCTTAAAACCCTTTTTTTTTTTCACATTATGATTGATTTGTTTTGTTTCTCTGTGTTGCTCTGTATCTCTGACCTCCTGCCTCTGACCTGTTGTCCAACTAACGAGCTTATAATTATCTCCTCCTTTTCACTTCTGTCAAGGTTGAATGTTGACCAGGGAGGGTTTCTCTGAAGCTTGTCTCTCCAGAAAAGGGCCTGAGACTTCTCTGGGGATGCTCTTGGCATAGCAAAGGCTGGAGGTCAGCTCACTGGAGATGGCCTGAATGACTGGTTTAAGGGAATGTGAATTAAACTGTTAGATACAGTCTCTTACAAGATGTAGGTAAGGAAACTCTGTTGCTGTGGATCCAAGGGAAGCCAACGAGGGTAACCACTAGGCATGTCAGAAGGGGTATTTTACTTCTTGGTAGTTGTTGTCCGAGACGTCCAGCTTTTCTCAGAGGAGGCTGTGCTGCTCCAAAGGTGTGAATTAACTCCTCTGTGTTTTTCTGGCTGAAAAGTCCCTTGGAATTTTCCCCCCTGTGTCACTTCAACTTTGATTTGTTCCTTGATGAGGCTCACCAGAAGTGCTTGTAGAGGGCTGGAGGGTATATGGTGTAACTGAACTGGGGAGATGGATTTCTATCCATCAGGGAGCTTTGGGTTAAAGAGCTGTCTGGATTTGAAGAGCCCATGCCCTTGCCCTGAATTGCCGGAGCTGGTTTCTCAACCCAGCACAGCAGAAAAGGGAGGGTCCAGAATCTTATTTGTCCCCAAATAAGGGGCTCCAAGAATGATGATGGCTTTGAATCAAGCTATATCCTCAGAAACAGCTGTGTCCGCACAGGCTTGGGGAGCATTTAGCGCAGAAACTGCTGGTGGCAGCAGGCAGCCCAAAGGAAGTTGCAAGAAACTCCATGGGACATTATGAAACCAGTTGAGCTTGGGGAAATTTCTCAATCCCCCTCCTCACTCAAAGGCTGGATTTTGCCCTCTCCATCACTCAGGAGAAAGGAGCCCTGACTGCTGGGATGGGACTTGGAGCCAAAGCCTGGTCTCTGAATGCAAAGCTCAGCCTCGCGGGGGAGAAGCTGAGAGCTGGAAAATGCTAAAGACCCATTAGATCATCTGCTCCATCCCCAGGAGGGCCAGCAGGATTGTCCCCCGGAGGTGGCTGGGATGGAAATGCCTGCTGTTGAGGGGTTTTCATGGTGGTCTTCTGGGAACAACAGCAAAACCCAGCACATTTCCCTGCCAATGTATGAAACTCGGTGAATTTTCTACCTTTTGCTTCTAGTTAGTGCAGCCTAAGCATCCCCCTTTTCCCAGGGGACTTCTGCCTTCCAGGTACAAGACACCCTTCTTCCATCTGTCTACCCATCTGTCTGTCTACTGAGGTCCCTGCAGCATTGGTGTCTACCTGCAAGGGACATTGCTGGGCCTTTGGGTCCTTCCAGTCCCTAGGGCAGGACAAGGGGCAGCAATGACAGTCGAGCGATTGGGTAGGATGCAAACAAAGAGAAAGGGTGTCCAAGGAGGATTGTTTTCCCTTAGAAACTCCCCCTCTGAAAGACATCAAGCAATTTCATTTCTCCATTCCTCTGAGTCTGCATCCTCCTGAGGCTGGCACCACGTTTCCCAGGAGCTGAAAGCCACCACTGTCCCTTTCCCTGGGGAAATCTGCTACCAAATGGACAACCCGTGCCACTAAGGGATCAGGATGCAGCGTGTGTGTCGAAGCTGGAGGGCTGAGAACGGGGACTGGGTCAGGGTGGGGATGGTTCAACCCAGCAGCCCGACGGGTTGAGAGCTGGGGGGAGATTGGGATGAGAAAGGCTGTGGCTCCCCTGGCCAAACAGGGGAGTTGAGCTCTCTGCAAGAGGGGAGGGAAACAAACTTTGAGGCCCCAGCTGAGACACTCTCAGGTTTACAGTGGGTGCTGTGTCTGCCGGAAGGTTTGGACAGTTGTATGGAGCCAGAGGAATGGGGACGGGGGGGTTGGTGCAACACCTCTGCACATGGGCTCACCACACAATGTCTGTTTTTTCCCTTGTTGGAGATCATTCAGTAGCCAGCCTATGCCTGGCTCTGCCCAGGCTGGGAAGGAATTTATGGCTAGTTGAATCCAGTGCCCATCAGAGCTCGTAGAGATCTTCCCACTGAAGTGAAAGCTGTTCCCATCACACCTCCTTCCACCTAGGCTCCCCTGACCAAATGACCCACGTTCGCATGAGCATTGTTTTGCTTAGACATAGAGATTGTCCCCTGCTGCTCCAGCAGCTCCTATGCCAAACACACCCAGATGAAGCAGCGAAATCTTCATTATTGGAGCGCCGAGTCATTAGAGCCTGGGAAAAAAAAAAAAAAATAAAAAAACCCCAACAAACTCCAGAAATAACCAAGGTGTATTTAGACTGTGAATGTGTGCAATCCAATTTAAATTGTAAAATGTTTAGAAAGCTGGCTGCTGGCAACAAGGACCTGACTTTTTCTGTCCATATGCTGCACAGAGCATGGTGAGGGCCTGGGCTCCAGTGGCATGGGGACAAGGACAGCAGTAACCAACCAAAGCACTCATGAAGATCTTTGAACAGTAGCCCTGAGGGCTCCGGAGGCTGCCTGTGTCCTGGAGAAGGACATGAATCCAACACGAGGACACCAATGCATCAGTCAGACCCATGAGGATTTATCATTCCCAGATCAAAATGGAGTAAAATTAGCTGAATTGTTTTTCAGTGCGGTTTGCTGCCGAAGCAGCTGAAGAACCTCCTGGGAAGACGATCTTCTGAGGGCAGGGAGGGCAGAGGTGGGTCTGGCATGGTGTGGGCTTTCTGCAATGCTCCACACCCAGCTCTGGTGGGCCTGGGTGGGTGAGACAGGGGCCTGCAAAACCCACCGTGCCACCAAGATGAGGTCACGACCACCTTGCTAACTCCCCCACACCCTTGTGCTGGCTTATCTATCTGAGCTCATCGTCATGGCCATACTTGAGCCTCTCCTTTGCCGTTGCTGCACCTTCAGCCTCCAAAGCTGCAGGAAGCTGCAGGTATAAACTGCTGTGGTCCCAAAGCCCTAGAGGCATCTTCCACCTGCCTTGTTTGGGTTCTGCTTCGCTCCCACTGCTTGCCGGCATCGCCTTCATCCCTCCCCATCACTGTGCAGACCTGTTGCACGCAATGGGGGGCCAGGTGAGGCAAGGACCACGCAGTTGCAATCGCAGAGGACTCCCTCATGTCTCAAACCCCCCCGATCCCAGGACCAAGGAGTTCTTGGGCCGTATCTGCCAGCCTCGTGCTGTTGGCATCGTGTTGCTGATGAAGCAGCGGGATGAGGCAGCCTGTGGGAGGGACAACACAGGGGCTCGAATCAAAAACATCTTATATCAAAGCATCTTTGGGATGCTGGTGTTTCTCCCCAGCTCACGGGGCTAGGTCCCTCCGTCTTCTGCCATTCCACCCCGGTATTTGTAGCCTTGCAGCCCTCTGCAGTTAGCCCGGTGGCAACCTCCTCCCTCCTCTCCTCACCCTCCCCGTTTCGGCGTTCGCCCCCGCCGGCAGCCAGCGAGCCCCTTTCAGGTTACCTCTGAGCTTTAATTGAAAGCAGCCCGACGCTGCGCACAGGCGGCACACAAACACGCCGAGACCCAGGAGCCACTCTGAAGCCTGACTCAGGTTGGGGAACCTGCCGGCACATCGCGGGGCCGACAGATAATTAAAGTGACAATCGATCACGCGGGAGGAAGGGAAAGGTGGTGGGGGGGGAAGGGACGCAGGGGCGACAGAGGCAACAATGCCTCCCCCGAGGAAGTCGCGGAAATATCATCAAGCCATGCCGAGCAGATGGCTCAGACGAAACCCCTTTTGGCCACCCCCCAACCTGGCTGTGTGGCCACCCTCTCCCCCCTCACCACCCGGCGTAGAAGGGTTTGAAGTCCCCCGGGTGCTGCTGATGCAGTACAAAAAAGGCAGGGCTTGATCGCTGGGGTATCGTGGCGTTTAAAAGCGCGAGCAGGAGCGAGACTTGTGTGTGCGCGTGAAGACAGATGGGCTAAAATTTCCGAATGCTCATGAAAGATTCAGGGGCGTCACTTGTTAAATTTAATTGGGAGAAACTCAACTCGGTGCCTGACTGCATGGTTTGCTGGCTTTTGCTTAAGAAGTCAACTGACAAGCTTGTCGTATGCGTTTTTTTTTTTCTTCTCTCCCTCCTTCCCTCTCTCCCTCCCACCTCATTTCACCAGCTCCTGCCACGGGTTGTGTTGTGAATAATTTGGGGAGTGTTGTCTCCTGTCTCCTTTTGGGGCAAGCACAGGTCCTGGAGTGGCAGGTACATGGGAAGGAGAAAGGTGGGCTTTTGCTGATGCTGTCGGCTTGGGACCCAAGAGATGATAGGAGCAACTCAAGTGCCGCCTCTGCTGCAGGTTCCTGGCCTCCCCTCAAGCCAGCAATTTTGATCCAAATCCAGGAAGGGATGTAGGTGCTTCAATAAATGGTAGGTGCTAGCATAGTTTTGGGCTGTAATCCCTCTGCCATGCGGCTGGAACACTTTTCTTCCCCAGGTGAAAACCCAGTGGGAGAGAGGGGAGGTGGTCCTCCTCTGGAGCTGAGCTTTTCGAAGAATGGAGGAAACCTGTGTGCAGACAAAGGTGACAGTGAACTTTGATGGCTTCTTCCCATGGGGGATTTTGAAAGTGATGGGTGTTTTCAGTGAGGAAGTGCATGTGCTACCTGAGTCTCGTTTAAAAAAACAAGAAATGGCAGGAGGGACTCATGTCTCCAAAAGCTGCTATTTGTGCTCATCGTGGCTGCTTCTGCTGCCAAAGAGAAAAATAGGCCCTGCTGGAGGGGCAATTCATCTGATCTGAACTTTGATGTCTGCAGAAAGCCTGATGACTCACACCTGAAAATGCCTGCTTCTCCCTAACGACTCCAAGAGAACCTGGTGTGACTCCCAGAGGTGTCCTCCTGCTCCACAGATATCCTTGGGGAGGTGGTGTGGACCCTCCCCACTTATATTT